GGAACGTGTGACAATTGTGAAAAAAGCTCTTCATACTTGCTAAACCAAGTACTGGATGCATCATCACTTTCAGAAACATGGATTGGCACATTTTTTTCTTTTTAAGTACTGCAACAAAATCTGCTTCTCTCGGGGAGGCAAATCTTCAATAGTCTTTTGTTTCATTTTCTCAACAAAGCAATATCCTGTTTTAAGTAACTATAACTTCCTGTTGCTGTCTGTTGAATATAATATTCCAGAAATTTTGCAGCTTCAGTACCCTCTTCTAACTATTCCCTTCAATGAATCAATACTAGCTCAGCCTGCATACAGAAGATCTCATCAAGTTATAATATTCTGATAAGGCAAGAATTAAGTTAGAGATGTGAGTTCTAAATACCAACATAACGTTGTATTTGTGAATTTCACTATGATGCAACATATGCTTCTCCTTCTTGCATTTTTGAAAATTCAAATTTGATGGCCATATTATAGGCACAATGAATCAAAAATTCAACAACTAAACTGGCAACATTGAAACTTGTTAGCCCATGTAATTGAACTGTCCGAATCCAGCTACTGAGAACTGGACTACAAAAGTGTGTCAGAATGTGTTTTTGAAGTTATTCTAGTTGGAAAAAGATACAGAGCAAGAAATTTTGCTGCATAAAAGTAATAGCTTGGGAATACAGATTTACATGCTAGGCTGGTTTGGGGAAACAGAAAGGTGACTCCAGTTTTCTTGCACAATGATCTTCAAAATGCTCGTGCGAGGAAAAAACCTTTGATGCAATACAAATATGTTTCAAGGAATAGGATGAAAAGGTTACCGATTTCAGGAAAACACTGTATTTAAGTTCCAAGGAGGATTATTAGAGATACTTCCACATTGTCTTTGTTATAGATACAGATTCAATTCTTGTTTCCTATTAACCTCCAAATTTCAGCCATTTTTACAACTAATAGCTTAGTCTATGAACTTTTGGAAATGAAAAACCTCAGGATCTTTGGCTTATACCCCTAAACCCATATTACTTGGTTGTGGTCAAAGACCAGATTGGTTAAATCCTGCTCTTAATTAAAAACACAAATTCATTTGAACAACCCAAAAGTTTACGTCTTATGAAAGTTGTTAAAGTGTGAAACCATATCATAACCATATCATCTAAAAACATAAGCTTTTTGAAACACACTTAAATTATTTAATTGTATTCTCAGCAAAAATAATGCTACTTCAATTTCAACGAAAATGCTAATACTCATCAGAATATAGTAATTAGGTATCAGCAAACAAATACATAGACATGTCAATAACAACCATAGTTAACATATACATTAGGCAACTCATATCTAAACACATTTCATGGATGCACATTGCATCCATCTCCATTTGCTATGATGCCCGATTTTAGAATTATCATTTAAGTTATATTCATAACATTGTAAAAAATTATAAGTTTGTTCATTTAAAATAATTTTTAGAATGCAAACTTCAAATTTTAAGCTACATATAATTGAAGTACATTCATTTTCGTTTGACTATTAATCATATGAATAAACTGAACATTTTTATTTAACTTGAGTAAAGCTAAACTTTAGTCATATATAATTTAGGCGCCACATACCTAAAGTTATTCAGAAATAGATAAACTTTAGTCATATATGATTGAGATGTCCTCCAAGAAACACCTTTCAAAGCTAAAATTGTTCCATAAGATGGAGCTATGGGGCATAATGAAACTATTGAAGTGTGTTATCATCTCATCTAAAAACTTAAGTTGTTAGAGAGAACACACTTTTAATATTTAATTATATTCTCAAAATCATTCCATACCTTTAAAGCCAGACATTTTTGCACCTGAATGTCCATATAACCTTATTTCAATTAGTAAAGTAACAAAAAAAACTTAAATGTGTTGTAACCTTCTTTGATGATTCTGTACGGGACAGGTGATTGGAAAAGGACATAAATCACAGGGATTATAACTGCTCTCAATCCCAACACCACATGTTGCTTTTACTTTCGTTGTTTCTTCTGAATTGCTTCTTAGTTAAATTGGTCATCCAAGTCTCATGAAATTGCAAAAGATGGTCCCAGTTTATCTAATTTATCTTTGTTAGTATGTGAGTCGTGTTAGCTTGGTAAGCACACTCGTGCCTCTTTCCCAAAACGTGTCAATAACAGGGCCACCTCAATGTTTGAAATCGTTCATTCAAATATATGGGTCCAAATCGTGTCAATTCTTCCTTAGGCTTTCATTATTTTGTTTCTTTCATCGATGACTATTCTCAGTGAACGTGGTTAATTTTAATGAAAAGTAGATTTGAGCTATACTCTATCTTTCCGAAATTCCATGCTGAAATTCGCAATCAATTTGGTATTTCCATTAAGAAGTTATGCCCGAGAATACTTCTCTACTTCTTCAATATGATGGGCAATATGGAAAGAGAGGAACTCTAGGTGTTTTGAGAGCATAGAAAATAGTGTGCAGAAAGTGAAGCTCAACTGCATTTTGCTATTATGTTTTTGGTGTAATCAGTTTTACTCAAATGATAATGTCTCTATAATTGATGTTTTAGACTCAATTTAGCCATAGAGCAGTAAGAATTTGGGGCTTTTGTATATAAGGTTTCAGTACAACCCATGTACTATTTTGTGATATAATACAACCTTACCAAGTTAAAAAAAAAAAGGAATACTTCTCTACTTCTCTCTCTTCTTTATGTCATCCGAGGGCATATTGCACTTGTCTTCTTGTGCACAAACTCCTTGACAAAATGGAGTTGCTAAGCAGAAGAACAAACATCAAATTGAAATGGACCAAACAATGCTTATTTACAATCATGTCCTTTTACGTTTTTGGGGTGATGCCGTTATTACTGCTTGTTATTTAATCAATCACATGCCTTCATCTGTTTAGCAGTACTAGAGTCCTCGCTCAAACCTCTAACCGGACCAAAATTTGTGTCCCCTTCCTCCACGTGTGTTTGGTTGCACCTGTTTTGTTCATAACCTTACTCCGGAAAGATAAACTTCAGCACAAGGCCTTTAAATGTCTTTCTCGGGTATTCTCGTCTACAAAAAGGTTATAAATGCTTTGATCCCTCTACCAATAAGTACTTGATCTCTACTGATATTACTTGTTTCAAGACTTCTCCGTATTCTCAACCTTTTTCTGAATTTGTTAATCTAGTTGGTATTTTGTAACCCTGATATATAGGTGCACAAAGCAATCTTGGTGACTCATTACCTGCTCCAACAATGCCTTTTGCTTAGAGAGAACACGTTTTTACTATTTAATAATATTCTCAACACATCCCCTTACGTATAAACACGCTTTTATTATTTGATTATATTCTTAACATGCCCCCCTTTTATTATTTAATTATATTCTCAACACACACCCCTCACGTATAAACACACTTTTATTATTTAATTATACTCAACATGCCCCCTCACGTCCGGGCAAGCGGGCCTGATTTTTTCATGGGCCAAGCACGTGAAAATTCTTTTAGATTTTTTGGGTGGCAATAAGATTCGATTTCAAGACCTCTGTCTGCTCTGATACCATATTGAAGTGTGTAACCATCTCATCTAAAAGCTTCAGTTGTAAAAGAAAGCACACTTTTATTATTTAATTATATTATCAATAGAAACAATTTAGATATCTATTCTTAGTCTACCAGGAAAAAGGTATGACAAAGAAAGAGCCAAATAAGGAGGGCTGAAACGAAAGAATCCTAGAATAATCCCATGCAATAAAAACATAGTCCAGGATAGAATGATTGTGTCACAAACTATTATACAGCAGTAAATTGCATTTCTAAGATGCTCAACATGTTCATAAGATAAAAGTTGTAAACGAACTGATATTAAAACAAATTTATGATCTTATAAAACTGGATGACTCTTTCAAACACAACTACTGTCAGGACTTATTACATCTAACAGAGTGCATGTAGCACATATAGAAGATAAAGTTAGATGGCTTCCCCATGTGTTAAGACCTCCAAAATGCACTGGTTTATAGGTTTGACAACACAATAACTAAGATTTTTAAGAGGTGAATTAAGTCGCACGGAGAAAAATGTTTTCAATCCCAGAAGTCTTTTGAAGTCCATGTAGACTTGGTTAAAAACAGAACACAACCAAACCAAGAGATCTGCATGAATTCCGCCAAACAGTTGAGATAAACTAGTCAGTAGATACCATAGAGAGATGTGTGAGAGATTTAAGAAACCTTCAAGTTGTCTTTTAAGACCTAATTATTCAGTTTAGGAATGCAACGGACCTGAACAAAACGAATGGATATTGAGAATTCATATAATAACTGACCTCAATGGTTTGTTGATTGAATGATAATAAATGCAAGTGTGTAGACATGCTCACACAAATAAAAGCTGTATGTGTGTGCGTATTCATGCGCTGCAGAATATCTTCACTAGGAAAGGATAGAGAATCAGCAGTTAAATGAAACGCCTAAGAAGCAGTGCCTGTAAGAAAATTTTCTATCATAATTTAAGTTCTTTAGATTTATAGGACTTAAAAACTCCAGGATTGGAGAACTGTCTAGTCAGGAAAAAACATTGCACACTATACCAAAGGAAATATATAGAGGAAACTGTAACTAACCCACCACCCCCTCCCCAAATCAATTAACTGGTATGATAAGCTGGCATGAACAACAATTGAGAACAAAGTGAATCAACACAAGCTGCGAAAATTGAGAAAGATATCATTTAAGTATATTTCCTTCTAGAATACGAAATACATATTACAAAGGATGAACCAGAACGTCTCCAGACATTCCACTTCAGCTTTTCCTAGGCTTGCTTCCACCATACATGGCATTATATGATAGGAATGAGTAGGCATTTCATTGCAACCCCTTTAAAGAGCCAATCACTCCATACCACACTAACATATATAAGACGCAACACAGGGATATCATCCAAACCAGTTCACTAGTAAAACTAATAAGCAATAAAATGTATTAATCACCCAGAAAAACCAAATCTACCTCGCGGACTAAACATAAGTACATCAACGCGAGAAGGAATTGTCTTGAGAAACAAGAATATATGAAACAAAATCTAAGACTCAACCGAAACAGTATCAAAACTTGTAGCATCCAATAGAAACATGATCCACCAGCATCTAGTTACCTCTCATTGCATCAACCACCAATCTGTAATGCTCCGCAATCAAATCTAAGCGCTTCACCATCAAGGCAGCTTCGTCATCCTCCAGTTTCTTCCACTTCTCCTCCAACACTTTAGCCTTGTCAGTAGCAATCAAACTCATGTTCTCCTTCAAAAAACTAGTACCATTTGGATACATTGTAGACATGCCAGCCATACTTTCAAATGATGCAGCCAATCGTGGATATTCGGACTGGAAATCCTGTTGATCACCCTTAACTATATCCTCCTTAACCACCTCCTTTACAGCTTCCTTATGATTCTCATCATCCTTGGGTTTGCTAACTTTAGCACTTTTCTTAGGTTCAGAACTCATCTTAACCTCAACAGCCTTTTTAGCTTTGCCATTAGTGCTATTGGTAACAATCTCCTTAACTCCATTACTAGTTCCAGGGGCACCCCAAATCCTCTTTGAATGCTGAAAAACTAAAAAATCCTGACCCTTCATGAAAACTGGCTCCTCGCCACCTTTCACATTACTCAAAAATTTCTTCTTTAACCTCTTTAGCTTTTCACTGAGTTGACTCTTTGAAACTTCAACCTGCAACTTCCCTCTGATGAATTCATGAAACGCAGACATATCGGCTTTAGGTTCCATTCCTTCTACCGCCTTGTATTCAGCAATCCCTTTGAGCAGAGCAAGCTGGTCGTCATCGCTCCAAAGAAAGCGAGGAGTAGCAGCTGATTTTTTCTCCTCTTCTTCTACAATCTTGGGCTTCTTCCTCCCTTTTTCTTTCTGGGCCTCTTGCGGCCTCTTTGCTACTGATTTCGATGGGGGAGCAGCTTTAGCAGGAACACTGGGGTTGACAGTGAAGTCCGATGCAGAAGGGGAAGGCAGGGAATGGCCCGATTCGGCTTCCGATTCGGATCCTGACCCATTCTCGCTGCCGGACTCAGAAGAAAATTGGAGTTTCTGAGTGAGGGATCTCTTTACAACTGGATGAGCTGTCTTGGGTTCTTCATTTTCTTCTCCTTCTTCCTCCCCCGATTGTTGTTCTTCTTCTTCCTGGGATTCCTCCACCAGTTCTTGTTCTTCAGAGGACGATGCAGAAGGAGGCTGGTCTACTAAGCGGGATTTGGTTTTGGGGGCCATTGTTTCTGCAAGCAAGAAGAGAGAGCTATTCGGCCGTCAGCTGTGTCTATGGTGAGTGTTGAAGCAAAGACAAAAAGATGAAAGCTTTGTGTAGGGCTTTTCGATGTATACAAAAAAGCAATGTCTTAATCAATTGCCGCGCCTTCTACGATTGGATAATTACTTTCCCCATTTAGACATCTATTCCACGTGAGTTTTATGAGTCACACCTAGGACTGTTCACGGGTCGGTTTGGATCGATTATTAATCAAAATCAAATTAACTTAATCAGTTTTAAAATTATCAAAATCAAACCAAACTAAATATAATATATATTTATCGGTTTGGTTGTTATCGATTTCGGTTCAATTTGGTTTGGTTATTCGGTTATTAATTATAGACAAAAATAAAAAAAAACAATTTATTCAAAACGTGAAAAAAGTGACAATAATTCATTTAAAACGAAAATAGTCAGAATAACTGATATTATAGAACTTTCGATCATTGAATTTAATATGAATAAAACTTCAAAATTCCTTATTTTGTCCTAGAAGAAAGAGACTTTGTCCTAGAAGAAAGAGACTGTGATATTTTCAATCTTATAAAGAATTGTTATAGACACACTCATATACATAAAATCAATAAGATAAATATTCTCACCTTACACATTTTTTCTTTCGTAAGTAAATTCTAAATAAATTTTGATGAAAACACATATAAGATCTTTGAAATTGTTTATAAAAATAATATATTATATATGGATAATAATAAAATATATGTATGCAATTTGTCGATTTGGTTCAGTTGTTTCTTCGGGTTTTTTCGTACAAAACCATAACCAACTCATATACTATCGATTTTTAAAAATCTAAAACCAAACCACACCTAACTCAAATAAAAATCAATTTATTTAATCGATTTGGTTCAATTTTTCGATTTTAATCGATTTTTATCCAAACTGTGAACACCCCTAGTCACACCAACACCACTACTCACATGTGGAATCGGGATGGTTGGGAGATGATGGAGCAATCACGCTTTATTTGTGCTTTTTAATAGGAAGAAATCTTCTTTCAAAATGTGATTTATCGTTTTTAATTAGATCTATGTGAGTTTTTTTTTTTAAATCAAATATTTAAAGCGGTGAAGAACCTGAGACAGTCCCTCCAGTTGAAAAGAGATTCATTACTCAAAAACCAGTTCAAACCCAACAGAAACCCCGAAATCTTCTTTTTAGTCTAGAAGCGATAATGGATCAGGATGCAAATCGGAAGCAGAATCAGGTCATTCCATGTCTTCTCCTTTTGCATCACACTGCACAATCAAGCCGAGTGTTCCTGTAAAAGTTGTTGCCCCATCGAAACGAGCAATAAAGAGGCCGCAAGAGACCCAGAAAGAGAAAGGGAGGAAGAAGTTAAAGAATGCAGAAGAAGACGTGTCAATAAATAGAAAATTTTATAAAATTACTTACCATATTCTTAGATTACGTATATTTTGAATATGAATGTGTATTTCATATTTTTTTGGTCATTTATGTATCAATTGAATGAGATTATTAATACTTAAGGGTCGTTTAATGTGATGGATAAGAAAAGTTAATCCCATGATAAATTTTAAGTACCCTTTATTTCGTTGTTTGGTTGCAAAGCTTGGGATAACTTATATCAGGATTATGAATTAGTACCAGGATAAGTTATCCCTCACATTGGGTGGTATAGTAATCCCAGGATAACTTATCCCGGAATAAAATAGGTAAATGACAAATATATCCCTTTAAATCCTTTTTATACATTATTTTTCACATTTATGTATATTTACATTATTTCTAATACCATGTATAATAATATTTACTACTCTTTATTTTTATGATAATTATACATATTTTTCTATTAAAAAATTACACTATATAAATATAATTTTTATTTATGAATTTATTTGACTAATTCTTATGTTTATTTTATTTTGATTTCTCATAAATTTTCTTCTCTTTAACAAACTTAAGAGGGAAGTTCTATTTTTAAGCAAAATAAGAAAAAAGTTATATTTTTAAATACACATGGTACTTATCACGGGGATACATAAACAAAAATATTTAAGTTAAATAAGATAAAAATTTTATTTTAAAAAATGAATAACTAAAGCTCGCAAAGAAAAATTTAAAAAGTTTAAATAAAGTGAAGGGTAATTTTGTAAACAAACAACTTGTTCTTAAAATTTATCAATATATATTATTTTGAATACAACAAACCAAACACTCAATAAGAAATAATCTCAGGACAACTTATTTAATCATAACTAATCCCAACATAACTTATCCAATCATAACTCATATTCAAATCAAACGATCCCTTATAGTTCAAACATTGAAATAAGAATATCATCCGATTAGGCTGGAAAAATCCGACTCATTAAAATATTATCACACAGGACTCGAACTAACCCTAGCTAATGTTAAGGGGTGGGGATGTGGCCCATGGAAAGGATGTCCGGCTTAGCCCCTACTTTGATTAGTGTAATTAACGGGCTAAATGGGCCAAATAGAGTCTATAGAGTCGATTCCATGCTCTTTTAATTTTAATAATAGCATTGACATTTACAATTAATAGATCAATTATTGCCAAATTTTAAAAATTAGTCACTACTAAAAAAAATACATATGCAAATAACATACACAAGATGTTTATATGTTCACATAATATTTGCTAACATTATTTTCAAAATATTGTAGTGTTTGAATTTTGAAAAGTAAAATTATTATTTTTATTACAACAAGATACATGTTTTGACCTTTTATATGTTGTTTAAGTAATATTTGCTAACATTATTTTTTACTTATTGTATTATTTTGATATATATTGAAAATAAAATTGAACTTTGTATGTTAATATATTGGGGAAGGTAAGCAAATACCCCATAAAAATAAAATAATTACAAACATATACCCCTTTATATTCATACTCTATTAAATAATTATATTATATACCCCTCAACTAATTTCGCTTAACTGATACTAAATTCGTATCATATACTATATTAGTATTATTAAGGCTGATCATTTCGATTAATTGATACTAAAAATGTATATATATATACACTATATTGGTATCATTAAGGTTTTTTGTTTAGAAATTATTTATTAGTCAATGATACTATAAAGAGTAATTTATGAACAAGAAACCTTAATGATACCACAACAATATATATATACTCTTATTGTATCATTGAGTAATGAGTAATTCTAAACAAGAAACCTTGATGATACCAATATAGTATATATATATTATGTGCGAAATATTGCAAATCAATTGCCAATGCATTTACTAATTATCTGGGACCAATGCTTTGAAACTCAAAAATAATAGATCTATTTTTTAATTATTCTCCACTTAAATACCGAACTTGTGGCTCCCTCTACCTTTGCACTTGAACAAAGCCAAAAGAGCCAGATATAAAGTCAATATATTGCCAAAGCTTGAAATTCCTCACCTTTACATAGTAAACAAAGCAGAAGGACATCAATGAAATACTAGCAAACTTTGAAGTTTCTTCAAATTTACAGACCTTGTGGCAGAAGGCAATTTTCCAACACAACTTCAACAAAAATAATATATCACATGAAATCCCACTAAGTACGGTCTATAAGGAGGGTAGAGTGTATGCAAACCTTACTACTACCTCGTGGAGGTGCATTCTTTTCCCAACACCAATCAGCAGAAAAATGATTTTAACGCTTATACATAAGGAATGTCCTTAGAAATGCTATACGCTCAATCCTAGTACTCACAAAATCATGTTTATGGAAAATTCGAATGAGGAGTAGACAATCACAACCAAAAGAATATGAAAGCTTAGTATATAATGAAACATACGTAATATAAAAGTAATAGGGGTTGCAAACCAGACAGTACACACCTTAATTTTGGAAGATATGACACTAAAAATTTGTACAAAGTTGAGTGTCCAATAAACAGATGAATTAGCAATCATGCATCTTGACCAGAAAAAGAAGCTGAAACTAGAAGAATAAAGAGCTGCAACTTTACAAATCTGGACAAAGGCGACTACAAACATTGAGAGGTAGTTGTAGTACACAATGCAATAACTACTATGGCATCTGTACTATAGTCATTCTTCCTACAGCTAGCGCTAGGGCTCTAAGAGAGCATTGAAGCAAAATGTCTATTCCCTCTATCTCGAAGGGCATGTATTCGCTAACTGGGGCATAGGAGGCACACCTTAGGCCTCATATAGTCGTTAAATACATGCTTCTGTAGACTATTATCCAAGCCATATTAGCTCCAAAGTACTCTGACACCTACACATCAAAACAGCTAAGTTATAACTCATCAGTCCTCTTTTCCTAGTTTCATGGAAACTGATTTATATACTTGATAGACATACCTAAACAGACAGCTATGAGCTTGAGCTCTCGTTATCTGAACTAGAATCGTGCATCTATCGCACCTGGATTGCAGGAAATAGTTGTTTACGTATGTCTGGCAAAGACTCAGGACAAGATTCTTGGGAAGGAGATGTTAATGCCCCTTTTCTAGGAGTCTTAACTGGTATTTTTTTTGAGTTTCTCACCACAGTACATTCCTTGTCCAACATAATTAAGAAATCACTAACGACTGAAAAGAGACACAAGCCTTCGTCCTTCCCTGAATTTCCATGGAAGTAATCTCCTGTGCTCTTAAGACATTATCTGTTTCTCTTCTTCTAGGATGCAAGTAATCTCCTGTTCTGCATGTTGGATAAAATTTGTGAGTGGATCACGGAACTTACTTTCATCCTCCAAGCTCATCATATCAGTGTCCAGAAACTCTTTAGTTTTCACTAGTGGCTAACTAAGCTTCATGACAGCTGAACTTAAATTCTTGCCATCAATAAGTGAAGCTTTTCTTACATTCTCAAGCTCGTTGCTTAAACCTGAAACCACCTGAAGACCAAGGTTACGGTGATAATCTGCCGACTCCTGAGCATTATCCTCTACAAAATCTTCTGTCTGCACACTGGTAGTGCTTTGGTTCTCTTTTAATCTATGTGCTGCTCTTAATCCATCAGATCAAATGATTTCCTGAACTACAAAGTTCAAGAGTGGTCTTTCCATCAGTTCCTTTCACATCTGAGAGTTTCAAAAGTGTCAAGCTTGAATGCCTGCGCACCATCATTCATGCTGTTGCCAGTGTTTAGAACTGCTTCAAGAAGTTTCAGGAAGAGTCTGCTGTTTCTCAGTTCCTTAGATGCGACCTACAAGTCACAATGTATAGTTGGCAAACCACCAAGCAGAAAATCAACAGATAAAAACTGATGCCAAAGAAGAATAACAAAAAAATTTCACCCTAAACTGCAACCATCAAATTATAAGAAACTCAATATTTTACTCTTTACCTCCAAGGTTGCGAAGGACTCTTTAATGGAAGAAACTTCTTCCTGAAGAGAACATATGAGCAGCAATGTTTCCATCCATTTGAATGCAAATGGAATTGCAACCATGGACTCAAGAAAACGTTCAACAGGACCGAGAGGAGAAATGTATCCAGCAAATAATCAGAGTTTGCTGCTTCCATCCATTTGAATGCAAATGGAATTGCAACTATGGACTTAAGAAAACGTTCAGCAGGACCGAACTGAGAAATGTCTCCAGCAAATACTCTGAGTTTTAGTTCTCATCTGTTGTTGGTGCCATCTTCAAGAGAGTTCGTCTGAGTTCAGGAGGCAGCTCATTACCTGATAAGAGACTTAAGTAAAAGAGTTGAGCTTCAGAATCTTCCTGATGAAAATAATACATAATTGAACTGTACAAATATTGCAAGATCTAAGTTGAAGTACCAATTGACGTCAATCCTTTCACGATTTAATATTAAATAGCAGATAAGATCGATTGTATGTGGCAAGGTACATCAAAATAAGGGAATTTTGTCATCGTGAAACTTCAATATTTTCCTTGGGATTGTGTAGAACATCTTTTAAAAAGCAGTGTATCAAACAAGTACCATACCAAATGTAAATGATTGAAGTAATACCATAGTTTTCCAATTAACTTCATGCTCTACAAACTTTGCCACATTTAATTTTGCAAGCTGAACTAGAACATTATTTTTAACATATCCAGTTGTAACAAAATAAGCATATGCTATCATTCAAAGAGTACAAATTCATCTTACTGGTCTTCTCATCCCTTAAAGTTTTTGTGATTGGTATCTAGGTGATCGTTGGCATGTTGCAACACACGTAATGAATATTTTAGATGGGACTTTTTCTTTCCCTTAAACACAAGAGTAAATACAGCAAATGCGGATGTTAAGATACTGATTTAATTCAAATACATGTTCACATATCTAACAATGTTATATGGAAGCGAAAGTTGGGTTGCTAAGGTCCAATATCTCCACAATCTAAGTGTTGTAGAAATGCGATTTTACAAAATTTGAAAAGATTAAAATAAACACATCTGACAGAGAGGCCAAGCAGCACGTGTAGAGGATAAATTAGAAAAGGTCGACTGAGATGGTTTAGCATGTCATACATAGACTCCCAAATGTACTGTATTATTTTGATATATATTGAAAATAAAATTGAACTTTGTATGTTAATATATTGGGGAAGGTAAGCAAATACCCCATAAAAATAAAATAATTACAAACATATACCCCTTTATATTCATACTCTATTAAATAATTATATTATATACCCCTCAACTAATTTCGCTTAACTGATACTAAATTCGTATCATATACTATATTAGTATTATTAAGGCTGATCATTTCGATTAATTGATACTAAAAATGTATATATATATACACTATATTGGTATCATTAAGGTTTTTTGTTTAGAAATTATTTATTAGTCAATGATACTATAAAGAGTAATTTATGAACAAGAAACCTTAATGATACCACAACAATATATATATACTCTTATTGTATCATTGAGTAATGAGTAATTCTAAACAAGAAACCTTGATGATACCAATATAGTATATATATATTATGTGCGAAATATTGCAAATCAATTGCCAATGCATTTACTAATTATCTGGGACCAATGCTTTGAAACTCAAAAATAATAGATCTATTTTTTAATTATTCTCCACTTAAATACCGAACTTGTGGCTCCCTCTACCTTTGCACTTGAACAAAGCCAAAAGAGCCAGATATAAAGTCAATATATTGCCAAAGCTTGAAATTCCTCACCTTTACATAGTAAACAAAGCAGAAGGACATCAATGAAATACTAGCAAACTTTGAAGTTTCTTCAAATTTACAGACCTTGTGGCAGAAGGCAATTTTCCAACACAACTTCAACAAAAATAATATATCACATGAAATCCCACTAAGTACGGTCTATAAGGAGGGTAGAGTGTATGCAAACCTTACTACTACCTCGTGGAGGTGCATTCTTTTCCCAACACCAATCAGCAGAAAAATGATTTTAACGCTTATACATAAGGAATGTCCTTAGAAATGCTATACGCTCAATCCTAGTACTCACAAAATCATGTTTATGGAAAATTCGAATGAGGAGTAGACAATCACAACCAAAAGAATATGAAAGCTTAGTATATAATGAAACATACGTAATATAAAAGTAATAGGGGTTGCAAACCAGACAGTACACACCTTAATTTTGGAAGATATGACACTAAAAATTTGTACAAAGTTGAGTGTCCAATAAACAGATGAATTAGCAATCATGCATCTTGACCAGAAAAAGAAGCTGAAACTAGAAGAATGCAACTATACAAATCTGGTCTAACTTCCTTCATATACTAAAAATAAATTATCAAATATTAAGGAGATTTCAGTACCATTAACATCTCGATATTTAGATTCTTATAGACATACAAACATTGAGAGGTAGTTGTAGAACACCATGCAATAGCTACTATGGCACTCAGATGTGAAAGGAACTGATGGAAAGACCAAACTCTTGAACTTTGTAGTTCAGGAAATTATTCGATCTGAAGGATTAAGAGCCGCACGTAGATTTCAAGAGATCCAAAGCACTACGGGTGTTCAGACAGAAGTTCTTGTAGAGGATCTTGCTCAGGAGTTGGCAGATATCACCGTAACCTTGGCCTTTCGGTGGTTTCAGGTTTAAGCAACGAGCTTGAGAATGTAAGAAAAGCTTCACTTATTGATGGCGAGAACTTAAATGCAGCTGTCATGAAGCTTAGTTAGTCACTAGTGAAAACTAAAGAGCTTCTGGACACTGATATGAGAAGTTTGGAGGATGAAAGTAAGTTCCGTGATACACTCACAAATTTTATCCAACATGAGATTACTTGCATACTACAAGAAGAGAAAAAAAAAATGTTTTTGGTTAAGAGCACAGGAGATTACTTCCATGTAAATTCAGAGAAGGACGAAGGCTTACGTCTCTTTTCAGTCGTTAGTGATTTCTTGAATTTGTTGGACAAGGCATGTACAGTGGTGAGAAACTCAACAAAATTACCAGTTCAGACTCCTACAAAAGGGGCATTAACATCTCCTTCCAAAGAATCTTGTCCCGAGTCTTTGCCAGACATACGTAAACAACTATTTCCTGCAATCCAAGAGCGACAGATGCACGATTCTAGTTCAGCTGATGAGAGATCAAGCCCATAGCTGTCTGTTTAGGTATGTCTATCAAATATAAATCAGTTTCCGTGAAACTAGGCAAAGAGGGCTGATGAGTTATAACTTTGCTGTTTTAATGTGTAGGTATCGGAGTACTTTGGAGCTAATATGGCTTGGATAATAGTCTACAGAAGTATGTATTTAACGACTATATGAGGCATAAGGTGTGCCTCCTACGCCGCAGTTAGAGAATACATGCTCTTCGAGATAGAGGGAATAGACAAATTTCTTCAATGCTCTCTTAGAGCCCTAGCGCTAGCGGTATGCCTGCACACCACTATGGAAGGTGCCAGGATTCATACGGTTGCCAGTTTATAGAACTGCTTCAAGAGGTTTCAGGAAGAGTCTGCTGCTTCTCAGTTCCTTAGATGCGACCTGCAAGTCGCAATGTATAGTTGGCAAACCACCAAGCAGAGAATCAACAGATAAAAACTGAGGCCAAAGAAGAATAACAAAAAAAATTCACCCTAAACTGCAACCATCAAATTATAAGAAACTCAATATTTTACACTTTACCTCTAAGGTTGTGAAGGACTCTTTAATGGATGAAACTTCTTCCTGAAGAGAACACATGAGCAGCAATGCTTCCATCCGTCTGAATGCAAATGGAACTGCAACCATGGACTTAAGAAAACGTTCAGCAGGACCAAGCTGATAAATGTCTCCAGAAAATAATCTGAGTTTTAGTTCTTCATCTGTTGTTAGTGCCATCTTCAAGAGAGTTAGTATGAGTTCAGGAGGCAGCTCATTACCTGATAAGAGAATTAAGTATTAGTGTTAAGCTTCAGAAATCTTCCTGATGAAAATAATACATAATTGAAACAGCATGAAATTTGCAAGATCTAAGTTGAAGTACCAATTGACGTCAAACTTTTCATGATTTAATATTAAATAGCAGATAAGATCGATTGTGTGTGGCAAGGTACATGAAAATAAGGGAATTTTGTCATCGTGAAACTTCAATATTTTCCTTGGGATTGTTTAGAACATCTTTTAAAAAGCAGTGTATCAAATAAGTACCATACCAAATGTACATGATTGAAGTAATACCATAGTTTTCTAATTAATTTCATGCTCTACAAGCTTTGCCACATTTAATTTTGCAATCTCAACTAGAACATTATTTTCAACGTATCCAGTTGTAACTAAATAAGCATATGCTATCATTCAAAGAAAACATTTTCATCTTACTGGTCTTCTCATCCCTTGAAGTTTTTGTGATTGGTATCTAGGTGATCGTTGGCATGTTGCAACACACATAACGAAAATTTTAGATGGGACTTTTTCTTTCCCTTAAACACAAGAGTAAATACAGCATGTGCGGATGTTAAGATGCTGATTTAATTCAAATCCATGTCACCTTTCCAGGAGAATGACATGATAAGTGAAAATATATCACATTTACTTTAAAATATAAAAGGTTGAAACAGAGGGGTGTTACTGGAAAATTATGAAATCGAAGGATATCTAACAATGTTATAGGGAAGCGAAAGTTGGGTTTCTAAGGTCCAATATATCCACAATCTGAGTGTTGTAGAAATGCGCTTTACAAAATGAACACATCTGACAGAGAGGGCAAGTAGCACGTGCAGAGGATAAAGTTAGAAAAGGTCGACTGAGAATGTTTAGTATGTCATGCATAGACACCCAAATGTACGTTTGCAGGTGAAACAATATGTAAATTTAAGCGTCAGAAGAGAACAAGGTAAACCTAAAACCATATGTAAGAAAGTTATCCCTATATTTTCTCGAAATCAATGTGAACTTAGCTAAGAATAGAACAAAATGAATCAAATCATGCGTATAGTCTATACGTGATACCAACTAGTCAGGATCATATTGATGTTATATTTACTTAATTAGGTGTTTGCCAAGAGCCTATTAGTTTTGTTAGAGATATATATCAACGTAGGGTCAATGTGAGACGGACAGTCCTCTAGTGTTAGATAATCCAAAAATTGTTCTTTAAGATAAAATATTTAGTACTAGAGTGAAATGGACCAAAATGGAATTTCTAAAAGGATCCATACAACCAACAGAGGGGGGGGGGGGGGAGAGAGAGAGAGAGAGAGATTTACCCTACTCGAGAGCATCATAAACTTCTTCTGTTGTCACATTT